CTGACGATGAGCGCGTTTCGCCGCCGGCTTTGCCTCGCTTTCTTTTCTTTTCCTTGCTTTGAAGAGCACGTAATTTGTCAATCCTAATTCCGCGTTATTGCCCGCACTGCGGTTTCAGTGCTCGCGAGCCTCCCTCTACGGAGGAGGCTGGGACCTGCCCTAATTTCTGCGTTAGCGGGGAAATATTGAAGAAGCAGCTCTAAGATCTGGGCTCCGGGTGACACGAGGCGCAGAGCGAAACCTGCCGTGACTCAGCACGCGCTGGGGACGCTGAGCCGATGCTTCAGAAACCGAGTGTCGATCTGTAGTAGCGAAGAGATGCTAAGAATGTAGGTCGGGTGGGGGAGAAGGCTTTTTAGGGTAAAATTGCCCTGTGTTCCCTTTCTAAAATGGCAGTTTTGAGTAACAGAGATGTTAAACGAGGTCCAGGATTGCTCATTCACGTGCTTCCCCTGTGAGGGAACGTATCGGCGTTGCTGGTTACTCTGCTGGAACTGAAGATGATTATTTTTTTTTTTCCTCCTCTTTCCTAGGGAAAATCTCCCCGTGGACGGGGCGTTTCTACTCCCTGCTGGATCCTTCCTACGCAAAGAACAACATCCCCATCATCGCCTCCGTCTCCGAGCACCAGCCCACCACTTGGTCCTCCTACTACTTTGACCTGCAGCTTCTCGTTTTCATGTTCCCAGGTGAGCCCGGCGCCGCTGTCGTCACATCCCCGATTTATTACATCAACGTACGACGCCGGAAGGGTTTTATTCTCTCTCCTCACGGTGCCGAGTCTGCCGTGGAGCGCTGCCTGCCTCCGCCGGCTGTTTTTTTATTTCGGGCACCGGATCGTGAAGGTGAACCTGACCCGTTTCTCTTTCCCCTTTGCAGTCGGTCTGTATTACTGCTTCAGTAACCTCTCGGACGCCCGCATTTTTATCATCATGTACGGGGTGACCAGCATGTACTTCTCCGCTGTGATGGTGAGCGCTGCGGCCTGCTGGGCGCAAGCAGGATGACGAAATGGTCTTAACGAAGCTGATTGAGTTTATTTTTCTGAACTCGTTAATGATGGTTCTTCCGCCTTGAGCCGGTGGAAACGTTCATGAGGCTTTTCTCCCTTCCTTAAAACTGGTTTATTCGCCCCTCTGCACGGCGAGGGAATGTGACGTTGCAAAACTTACTGGTTTTGGTGTTGCTCGCTTCCATGTGGCCACCGCTGTCCGCCACTGGGTCTCCCTTCCTGGTCTCCCATAGCCGAGTTGCAAACCCAAACAATTTTTCCAGGTATCCGAGCAAGGACCGATGCCGAAGGGCTGCTTAGGAGCCCGTTTCCACTCTCGCTCCAGCACCCCAAGCCCTAAATGCGGGTTGATTTCTGGTGTGGAGGCACCTCCTAATTCTTGGCTCCACCTAAGATTGCCCGAGGGCGTTAAATTCTGCACCTTGGCCAATTTTGAGGTCTTCAGAGAACTTTCCTGGGGGTGTCTGAGATGGTGGCAGCTCCCAGCCTGCACCCGCTAAAAAAATCAGCGACGGGTTTATCTGGAGGCTGATGCTTCTGCTGAATTTGAGGTGCTGCGATAGGGATGGCGTTGAATTTCTCTCTTCTCTTGGATTTCTGCCCTGATTTCTTCTCCAACAGGCACTGACTCTTCTGCTGCTGCCCGTAGGTGCGTCTTATGCTGGTGCTGGCCCCGGTGATGTGCATCCTGTCCGGCATCGGGGTTTCTCAGGTGTTGTCCACCTACATGAAGAACCTGGATATCAGCCGACCGGACAAGAAGAGCAAAAAGCAGCAAGACTCCACCTACCCTATCAAAAACGAGGTGAGCATTGGGCCGGCTCGGGAAGGGGGAGGAGACACCTAGTCCTGGTGGGGACAAGTGCAGGAGGCTGGTGGCCTCTTCCCTCCAGCGTTGACCCCCGTTTCTTCCCCCAGGTTGCCAGTGGCATGATCCTGGTCATGGCTTTCTTCCTGATCACCTACACCTTCCACTCCACCTGGGTGACCAGCGAGGCGTACTCCTCCCCCTCCATCGTGCTGTCCGCCCGGGGTGGGGACGGCAGCAGGATCATCTTTGATGACTTCCGAGAAGCTTATTACTGGCTGCGTCACAACACGCCGGAGGTAAAGGACGGGGGTAACTGGGGCAGCGGGGACCCAACGTTGTCCGCCGAGGCGCTGACGGCACGTCTGGTGTTTGGGTGCAGGACGCAAAGGTGATGTCCTGGTGGGACTATGGGTACCAGATAACCGCCATGGCCAACCGGACCATCCTGGTGGACAACAACACCTGGAACAACACGCACATCTCCCGCGTCGGTCAGGTAGGTCCTGCCCTCGCTTGCCGCCTTGCCCTGACTTTCTGGGGGCATCGCGTGGCGTGACTGACTCCGCGTCTGCTCCAGGCGATGGCATCGACGGAGGAGAAAGCCTACGAGATCATGAGGGAACTGGACGTCAGCTACGTCCTTGTCATCTTCGGAGGCCTCACTGGGTATTCGTCTGACGGTAAGATCTTGCTCTGAGCTGGGTCAAACCCATCCAAAAAGACTCTCAGAGGAGCAAAGTCCCACCTTCAGCTGAGGCTGCGAAGTGGAAACGGTACCAAAATGCTCCTCTCTTAAAGCTGCGTGTACCTTTTTTGCTCACCCCCAACTCAATTCCTCATCCTTTGCCCCAACTCAACTCAACTCCTCAGTATTTGCCCCCCAGCTCTTTGCCCTCAACTCAACTCCTCACTCTTAGGCCCCCAACTCAACTCTTAGGCCCCCAACTCAACTCTTAGGCCCCCAACTCAACTCCTCGCTTTTTGCCCGCCAACTCAACTCAACTCTTTGCCCTCAACTCCTTGCTCTTTGGCCCCCAACTCAACTCCTTTCTCTTTGGCCCCCAACTCAACTCCTTGCTCTTTGGCCCCCAACTCAACTCCTTGCTCTTTGGCCCCCAACTCAACTCCTTGCTCTTTGGCCCCCAACTCCTTTCTCTTTGTCCCCCAACTCCTTTCTCTTTGTCCCCCAACTCAACTCCTCACTCTTTGCCCCCCAACTTAACTCCTTGCTCTCGCCACCAACTCTTTGCTCTCCACCTTTCAGACATCAACAAGTTCCTGTGGATGGTGCGGATCGGGGGCAGCACGGACACGGGGCGCCACATCAAGGAGCACGACTACTACACCCCCACGGGGGAGTTTCGGGTCGACCGCGAGGGCTCCCCGGTGCTCCTCAACTGCCTCATGTACAAGATGTGCTACTACCGCTTCGGCCAGGTCTACACCGAGGCCAGTAAGTCCCCAAAACCGCCCCCCATGGGGGGGGACACCACTTTTGGGGCACCCCACTGTGCCCCCAACATCTTCGGGGTGCGACGCGGCAGCGCTGCCTGTACTTTGCCCTCTCCTAGAGCGACCGCCGGGCTACGACCGGGTGAGGAACGCCGAAATCGGCAACAAGGACTTCGAGCTGGACGTGCTGGAGGAGGCGTACACCACAGAGCACTGGCTGGTCCGAATATACAAGGTACGGCCCCAAAACAAGCCCAAACCCCCCAGATTTGGGAAAAAACCATTAAATTTCACCTAACCCAACCTTTTTTTTACCGCTCAGGTGAAAGATTTGGATAACCGCGGCTTGTCGAGAACGTAGAGGAGCTGCCGCCGGCCGCGCTGCGCACCGCACTGACCTGTGAAGCAGAAATATTTTGGGGTGTTTCTTTTTTTTTTTCTTTTTT